GATCTTTTTTCTTAGAAGAGTTCTTCGCTTAGAAAATAGTTAAGTGCATAATGAGACTATATACAATGAGATCCACAAGCTTTTTTTCTCTTTGATAAATACAGTATTGGAAAAAAAACTAATGTCCTTGTAACTTTGTGTGATCCTCTGTGCACACACTGTTAGGCACCTAATGAAAAAACATGCACACATTCCAGTTATTAATACAGCAGTGTGTGATTCTTCTCAGCAGAAGAATTAGTAAGGCTAATGTAGCAGAATAACCCACATGAAGAGATGGCTGTGTGTCCTACACGAGAGGCTTTATTATTCAACTTTGGAGGTAGTACATTTTGTGATCTTAGTTCTAACTGCAATAGTTGCTAAGGTAAAAACTACATTTTATTTATCAGCATCTACAGTTTACAGGCTTTGTAAAACAGCAAAAGAATTCTCCTGGTTTTGGAACGCCACATATTTCCTTATTCTGCACAGTACAGAGCTCATTACCCTGAACTATACCAGATAACATTTTACTCTCAGGTATGCTTGCTCTATACCCCAAACTGGCCTGGAACCCTTAATCTCCACCTTATCCAGGTCCTGACTATTGAGACTGCTCATACGTGCCAATACACCCAGCTCAGATAGGCTTCCTTTTGTTAAACCAACCCCAAAAGATATCCAGAACCAACGTCAGGAAACCATATGGCATGCTGAGAGTCTAGCGGGTCAAGAATCAACCCTAAAAGCTCAGCCTTACCACTTACTCTGTACAGCCTTGGGCAAGTTACTAATCTCTCCGATTCTCAGCATTGTCTAAATTGTAAATAAGGATACTCTCACATTAATCTTACACACTAGGAACGTAATACATTCATATTATATTGTAATGAGAGACATTACATTAATAATATAGTCAATAAACACTCACAATGTGCCAGGCTGTATGTTAACATGTAATGTATTAAACAACATCCATAAAGAGTAAGCTAGAAAGATGGCTCAGTGGTTAGGAGCCCTGGCTGCTCTTCCAAAGGACAAAGGCTCAGCTCTGAGCATCCACACGGCAGCTCACAACAGTCTGTAACTCTAATTCTAAGAAATCCATACCTTCTTCTGGTGTTTGCCAGCATTGCACTTGCATGGGGTAGAGACAGATATGCAGGCTAAACACCCATACACATAAAATAAAAATACTATTTTTTAAAAGCAAAAAAAAAATTATATTCTTAGTTCAGGTATTTTGTATTTTACAAAATACAAATATGATATTTGAATATAAATTCAAATATGGTAAACATTTCAGTTCTATGCATCTCAAGTGACTGACAAGCTTATAGAAATATAATCTCCTAATAGAACAAGGAAAGGGTTCTTCTCATCAGAATGAATATCTGCTAAGTAATTCACGGTCCTTTAACAACAATGCTACCTAGATAGCTTTCATATACATTTCTTATCCTTAGTTAACTTAGCTACATCGAATTCTCCCTTGCTTTGGCTACTGTTGTTTGTAACTGGTCTTTCTCTGCAGTCCAGGCTGACCTCATACTCACAGCAATCCTCCTACCTCAGCCTCCCAACTGCTGGACTACATGCATGAGCTACATGCCTGGTTTTAAGTACTCTCTTTCTCAGTACTACAAATGCTAACGTGCACAACCCTGACTGCACAGTGTAAGAAGAGATAGCTACCTACAGCTGTGTTAGGCAGTGCCCTGAAAGCATCAAATTATCTTCAATCTTCATACTAGCTCGGCAAACATGTGGTTGTCCTACAGTTTACAAAATTAAGTTCTAAGAAATTAACTGATCAGCAGGAATACAGTCAACAGTGGAGCCAGAATGGACTGCAGGCTTGTAGGGTTCTGAAGCCCATGTCCTGTAAAAAACTGACCACGGTCTAGTTATTAACAACATGCCTTATGTTCCTTACATTTGAACCTAGACATCATACAACTAAACCTTTGAGAACAAAGCTCAAAATATATTAATTTTAGAATATCTACTCTATGTCTTTACAATACTCTTGTCCCCTTACTATAATTATAAAGTCATTAAGATGAGATTTTTATCTGTCACTTATCAGATGAAGAAAGACAATGTGAAATTTATAACTCACTTACTTATTAACACACCACTTTTTGCCTGCACTGCAATGAATAGTAAAAGTCAGTGAGGGCCTCTAGAAGCCAGTGAAGTAAGTATTTGTAATGCAATTTCATTCTTTGATGGCAATAGCATAGGGCAGACAACTTGAAGACTCAATTTCTATTTTACTACTTCTTAGTTTTAGGATCTTTAACTTTTTACTCTTTTTTTTTTTTGATTTCCTTTTTTGTTGTTTTTGCTTTTGAGACAGAATTTCTCTGTCTAGCTCTCACAGTCCTGAAACTCACTCCATAGACCAGACTGGCCTCAAACTCAGAGATCTGCCTGCCTCTGCCTCCTGAGTGCTGGAATTAAAGGTGTGCATCACCATGCCCAGTAAGAGAGTAAATTCTGAGCTGGGTGCAGTGGACAAGCCTATAATCTCAGCCCTTGGCACTTAGGAATGGAGGGAAGAGAACAGGGAGTTAGTTGGAGGCCATCTTGGACTATATGTCAAGATATTGTCTCAAGCAAACATTCTAAAATTTGTGGATAATCCTAGAATTCAGGGGGTGAGGCAGGAGGACTATCTTGAGTTCTAGGCCAACTCAAGATCCTGTCTCAAAAACAAAACAAATTTAAGTTCAGGACAGACAGGGAGCCAATGATTTGGAATTCTGGTTAAGAGCAGCATTAATAAATTAGTGAAAATGACTTATCAATATCACACCAACTATTAGCAACTAGTGAATATTATAATGCCTAAGGCATCTGACTGGGATGATGCATGTCTGTAACCCCATTGTCACTGGGGAACCTGAGGCAGGAAGACTGAGACTGAACAACCAACCTGAACTGTAGGCAAATCCTGTCTCAAAAACAAACACATCCAAGAAATATCTGAAGATTCCTGGTATCCATATCTTTCAAAGTATTTATGTTCCTGGTATTCTGGCTTACACTTCAAATTTGCTAAGAAAACCTTAAAAGAGGGAGCCAAACACTAACAAAACATAAAGTAAGCCTCAGCCTAATTCTAGGCCAATCAGTACTGATGAACTTTTGTGTAGAACCTTGATGATGAGGGCTTACTGACTGAAGTCTCCCTCTTACTCCCTAAGGTTGTTCCATGGCAAGCCTTACACTCATGACCTCTGACCTCAGCCTCCAGCAGGCTGTAATTACAGGTGTCCCTTACCAGCCCAGCTCTTCATTTCTCTCAACTATTTATTAATTTCTAACTTAGAAAATTTAAGACTAATCCCACTACAATTTTGTGGCACCTTTTATGTTTTGCTTGTAATTGATGATCCTCAGATAGGTAAGGGGAACAAAATGCTGGAAGGTACAGAATTTACAATTTTTCATATCAAAGATACTAAAGTACCTGTCAATATGGAACATTCTAAAGTCATTGGGACTGCCACTCTAGCCACTTGGTAGCTTTAGAAGGCAAAGACGGATAGCCTCAATGGTTAAGCAAATAGCATACAGAAGACGAAAGAAAACAAGGATAAAAAACCACCAACATCAGTGAAAGCCCTTACAAAGCCAGGTGGGGAGGGGTATAAACCCTAATTATATGTGGAAAATGGGTGGGGAGAATCACCAAGCAATTTAGAATGTTGAGTAAACAGAATTCATAAGAAACTGAAAAACAACTTAAGAAGGCAGAATTAAAGGCTAGGCAGCGGCTGCGGGGAGGGACCAGGGGTAGGGATCGGTCTCTCCTCTAGCTACAAAGTATAGGTCTTCAGTAGAACAGTCGAATTTCTTGATCCACTCCACGGATACCTTATCTTCTTCACTGAGAAACGTTTATTTTACTTTAATTTTTTGAAGACAGACCCCTAACTGCGGCCTCACAAAGGCATCCAGTCCCCAGCGGCAGCGTCTCGCACACACTCACTCAACACAGACAGGAAGTCCTCCTTTCTAGTGTCTCATAACTACTGAGGCTGACTTCACACTTTTAGGCCGCAAAGGAATTGTCAGCTTCTCCGACTCGCGGAACAGAACGCGCTTCGTTCCGGAGAGGCGCGCAATAAACCCGGGCTGGAAGGCAATATTTTGTGCAAGCGTGGATCCGCGCCTTCCTCCCCACCCCCGCGCTATTAGTAGGTCAAGATCTCCTGTTCATCTTCAACCTACCCTAGCAAGCCTTGGGGTCCCGCAGGCTCCCGAGGGTTCGCCTATTTCTCATTTTTGTATCCTCCCCCAGCCTATAATCCAGTCCTGCAGCACAAACTTCCGGCAAATTACAGCAGGAGCAAGGAAAACTGCAGCTACACAGAGGGGGGGAGCAGCTGAAGCGCAGGTTCACCACTAGGGTCCCGGCGTTGACACTGATGTGGAAAGACGCGAGCTGGGGCACCGAGGGATGAGGGGAACTCGGTATCGCTGGGCCCTACCTACCTTCGGGTAGGTGTGCAAGGGATAGGTCAGCTGACAGGCCCGGTGACAAGACGCCGTGTCCCCCAGGACCGAATCAAAGGCTTCGGCCGCTGCAGTCCCCGAGCCTCCGGCCAGTGCCATGGTCAGCAGCAGCAGCGGCGGGAGCCTCAGCTGGGCCTGGACCCAAAGCTTCCCCCTTAGCGCCGCCATCTTGTTCCCCTCTGTCACAGCAGCTCGATTTGTTGCTGTTTTCTTTTCAGGGTTTCTCCTTCTTCCGGGCCAACCCCTTTCCCCGCCCCTCCGGCCTGCGCTTCCGCCTCCGAGAGAGCCTCGGCTCCGCCCTGGCCCGCCCAAGGTGCTGCCTCCCGGCTTGTCTCTGGGACAGAAAACCTCTCGTGGGCGGGCTTGAGGCCAACCATCTCAGCTCTGGGCTCAGAGCGGCGCCTGCCTTTTTCTCCGTGCCAGGCCTACTGGAGCCTGTAGTTCTCGGAGGCTTGGAGCGAGCTGGGGGGTGGGGGTGGGGGTGGGGAGCTGCTTCCCTCAACCACTGCCTTCGCGCGCCTCGCAGTGCGTTCTGGGAAGTGTAGTTTCTGCGAGTCACCAGCGAGAAACTGGGCCCGGGAAGAAGTGTACAAACAGTTACAACGCGTGGCCGTGGCCGGGCCGGAGGTCTCGGGAGGTCAAGAGACCAAGCTGTAGGCAGGCTGATTTTCCCGGTGGGTCTCACGTCGATCTGTGATTGGATAACCCCTTTCCAGGCCTCTTGAGTACTGTGGGCAAGGGAAGGATGAAATCCTTGCTCATGGACATGGTTGGGATTCTCTGACCATAGAACAGTGGTTTCTGGAGCTGCTTCTTTATGTTCCGGGGTCTGGAGATGGTTGTTGAGGGCCTTAGAGTAATTCTTAAGATTGGGGCTGCCGCGGAGTGGTTGCAAAGAGTGGTTCAGTGAGCCCAATGGAACCTTAACTCCGACACAACTCAACCTAAACTGGAAAAGGATTTCAGAAGTCACCCCATTACCCTGGGTATTGGAATCCTATTCCCTCCAGAGCGTGCCCTTCTGGAAGCTAGGAACCTAACCCAGGAAGTAAATGTAACTATAGTTTCAGTTTTTCAGAAGAGATTTCCTTTTTCGAGAAGAAATCGTACTTCCTGTAAATATGATCCAGAATCCTCCATAATTCAGGAGTGTTTAGAAAATCCAGTCGTGTCACTTCTGGGAACATACATCTCAATCTTACTGAAGTTTCACCCTGTTTCTTGAATAGAATACACTTCAAGCACCTGAAGATAGTCGAGCCCCCAGCAATGGATAAATTTGTCATTCGAACGCCTAGGATCCAGAATAGCCCGAAGAAGAAACTCGGAGAAAAGGTTTACAAGCAAGCCACGATCGAGTCTTTGAAGGTGAGGAGGAATGTGAGATCAGAGAAAATGTGCAAAGGACTGTCATAAAGAGACAGGACCAACGGGTTCCATTGTAGGGAATCTTGTTAAGCAACCCTGAGAGACCATATTTTCTTTCTCACATACCCTGTACAGACTCATCAATGCCTGTACCTCTGCTACCCTGAATTAATCCAATTATTCCGGCTTTAGGGTATGGTGCTAGATAATAGGATCACCACCCCACCCCCCTTGATTACAAAGGTTTTTTTTTGTTTTGTTTTTAAGGATTTATTTATTATTTATTTATTTTAGTTTTGGGGACAGGGTTTCACTGTGTGGCCCTGACTCACTCTGTAGATCAAGCTGACCTAGAACTCAAGAGATCCTCCTGCCTCAACCTCTCAAGAGTTGGGATTAAAGGTTTATGCTAGCTAGGCAGTGGTGGCACACGCCTTTAATCCCAGCACTTGGGAGGCAGAGGCAGGCGGATTTCTGAGTTTGAGGCCAGCCTGGTCTACAGAGTGAGTTCCAGGATAGCCAGAGCTATACAGAGAAACCCTGTCTCAAAAAAAAAAAAAAAAAAAAAAAAGAAGGTTTATGCTACCACTCGTGGCTAAGATTTATTCTTATTGTGTGTGTCTGTGTGTAGTTATGTTCACTAGGTTATGTTTGGGTCTCTTTGGAGTTGTAGTGATTGTGCATTACCTAAAGTGGAAACTTGCAGTGCTGGAGATTGAGGTTAGGTCCTCTGCAGGAGCAGTGTGTAGCAGGAATTGTAGTAGAATCATTATATCCAGGGTAAACATTACGATGGAATAGCTGTTGTTCACTCTATCTAGGGTAAACATCAGAATGAACTGCTGTGTTCTAGAAGTACTTGGACCTTGAAGAAAGCACTGTAGAAAACAGTGCTTGTCTTCTGTTATCTGTAGAGTTGTTTTTCTGAAGGAGCTGTACAGCGTTTTCATGATTTTGGTCACAAGACAGTCCTGCCTGTCACACTTGGAATGTCCTACAATATTGGGCACAGCAAAGAGTACACAATAAAGACTAAAGTTGTAGGGGTGCAATGTTACCTTTACAAAACATACAGATTAGATGAGGGGCTTTGGCATGAGGAATTTGTGTCACCTAAAATCAACTGTTGTTTTTGCTTTTGCATGGCTTTTCAAGATTCAGTCCACAGAGACTGGATCTCCCTCCTGCCAGCAAGGCCTTAATATGTCCTGCAGTGTCTCTCTTTTTCCAAATGACCTGTGAGACTCAGAAAGCTGACATCAGTACCTGCTCTCAACCACCCCTGAGCCGTCAATCTCTCCATCCCAAAAGTTTTTCTCAGAAATATTAAAGTTTCAAGTAGGATTCTACATACCTGTGGGTCAAATGACCCTTTCACAGGGGTCACCTAAGACTATTGAGAAAGCACAAATATTTATGTTACAATCATACCAGTAGCAAAATTACAGTAATGAAGTATCAATGAAAATAACTTTATAGTTGGAAGTCACCACAGCATGAGGAACTGTATTAAAGGATGAGGAAGGTTGCATTAGGAAGGTTGAGAGCCACTGCTTTAGACAAAACTAGTGTAGTGTAAAAGATGAAGCTTTACAGTGCTCTGGCACCTTATATGTAGTGCTTTGGCCAGAATGTAGCATATGGCTTCATGACTTATATGGCTCCACAGGTCCACCCTGAACCACAGAGACTTAAATATACTGTTTGCTTGCTGGAACTAAGCTTGATTCCAACTAGTTAGGAAGGGGCAAAGACTATTTACAAATAATCAGTCAAGCTAAGTGTACCAGCACACACTAGTAGGCCTTGCACTTAGAAGGCTAAGGCAGAAAGATGGGACATTCAAGAACGTTATGGGTTGCATAGCAAGACTGTTTCAAGAAAGCAAGAGAACTATATTAGGGTGTAGCTCAGTGGTAGAGTGCCTGCTTGCCATGTATGAAGTCAGTCTCCACCCCTAAACATTACAGAGACAGTCATGTGAATGCTGAATGAATTGCGATGTACCAAGAACAGCTTGCCGAGTCCTTTTGGTCACTTTACCTCTTCTGCATTTCTGGCTTATTTTTAGTTTTCCTCATTGGCTTCTCTATCCCTGAGATTCCTAATGTTTGTGCTCCCCAGACTTCTGCCTTGTTTTGTATGCTTAACCAGGGTGACCATATCAGTCCCAAGGCTCTCTGTGTATGTAACTGACATACCTGCTCTTCCAGTCTAGATTTCTAAGGCTGAGAGCGCATCTGGGGCTACAAATGGTGGTGGTAAGGCAGAGTACTTGGCTTAGATCCTAGATAAGTTCTTTTCCTGGGTGCTCTCCTAGACTCACCAGACCTGTATTAGAGAGCAGTGAAGAGGGCCTGCCAGTGGGGACATGCTGAAGATCAAACTCCAGGCCTCTTGAATGCTGAGTAAAGACTCTGCCATGGAGCTGTATCTAGCACCAGCCCCCACACATCTATCTATAATCCTTTTGCTAGAAATGTTCTTACTTATTCCATTGTCTTGAAAACAGTATAGTATAGTGATTAAAATATGCTGGAGTCAGGCAGGCAGGATGGCTCAGCACATTAAAGGTGCTTGTTGCCAAGCCTGGAGATTTTAGTTCAATCTGGGAAACCACGTGGTAGAAGCGGACTGACTCCCATAACTTAGGTTTCTGCCTGTCTCCCCGGAATAAAACCACTCTGACAGAGGAGGATGGGCTTTGTGTCGTTCGAATAACTTTACTTTTTTTTTTTTTTTTTTTTTTGTTTTTTGAGGCAGGGTTTCTCTGTGTAGTCCTAGCTGTCCTGGAACTCACTCTGTAGACCAGGCTGGCCTCAAACTCAGAAATCCGCCTGCCTCTGCCTCCCAAATGCTGGGATTAAAGGCGTGTGCCACCTCCGCCCGGCGATTTTTTTTTCCCCAAAGGTTTATTTATTATATGTAAATATACTAGCTGTCTTCAGATACCCCATAAGAGAGGATCAGATCTCATTACAGATGGTTGTGAGCCACCATGTGGTTGCTGGGATTTGAACTCAGGACTTCCAGAAGAGCAGTCAGTGCTCTTAACCACTGAGCCATCTCACCAGCCCTCATTGGAATAACTTAAGTATTTTCCTCTGTCTGCACTTCTGCATTTTCAAAGCTGTTTCTTTACGTGTGTCCATCCTGCTGCACTCTGAGCTTCTTGAACACATGTGCCCTCTTGGTTTTATATCTACAGGACCTGACATGTAGGACAGGTTTCTAAACAACCAGGTCACCTAGAATTCTACAAGCTTTGGCATGACACATGAGATCTTTCCTGTTTGGCTCCAGCATGATGTATGCTTGTGGCTCTCCATTTATGTAATGACATTCTGGCCATGCCCCTTTGTTTCTTTCTTTTCCTGGTCCTTCCTTTATGTTTGTCTCTTTCAAGCTGTTAGGGCTTTCTTTTGACTTCATGCTGGTCCCTTTCCCTGTAAAATCTTTCTCTTTATTTTTATAGAGTTAATTTCTCATTTATCTACTCAATCAAGAACTGCTTTCCTTGGAAACTTAGCTCATAAGTTACATACAGGGACCCTGAGATATTTACCTCTGTGCCCCGGAAAATATTAGTGTCTGGTATATATTAAAGAGACATTAAGCATGTCTTCCACTTCCCATCTTCATTTCCCTCTCTCTGTCTCTCTCTCTCTCTAAACTTTTGTTCATTTTTTAATGTATATGAATGTTTTACCTGTGAATGTATATGCACCATACACATCCAGTACCTGTGGGAGCAGACAACGGCATCAGATCATCAGGGATCTGGAATTATAGACCATTGTCGGCTGCCTTGTGGGTGCTAGGAACTGAACCCGGGTCTTCCAGAGGAGCAGACAGTGCTCTGAACCACTGAGCTGTCTCTCCAGACCGTTATAACACCCTTGATAGTTCTTCTACAACTGTTACTGTGAAACAGCTTTATGCCCAGCATAAGAGAAATCTGAGATCGAAATATAAGCCTCATGAGACTTCCAATAAGGGCGTGAGAGGTAATAATAATATAAAATGGGATTTATTACAAAATTATCATATAAGTAACAGAGAAGAGAGCAAGTCATGTGTTGTGACAAGTGCCAGTAATCTCCTCACTTGGGAGATAAAATCAGGAAGATCAAGAAGTTTAAGATCATCCTAGGCTGCTTAGCAAATTCAAGGCTAGCCTGGGCTGTATGAGACCCCATTCCAAAAAATAACTGTTTCCATGGTTAGAGAAGCCTACATGACAAGTACCTTGAAGGATGGAAGGACGGCTTGCCTCGATAAAGGGAGGCCACACGAAAAGCCATGTGTGTTCACTGCTTTCTTCCATGTGTCTCTGTGTGTTCTCTTTTATATGTGCACAGTGGCAGCATTTTAAAAGGAAGTTGTGTTAACTGTGTGTGGTTTAGAGAATTTGCTAGATCCACTTTCCGCCAATCACTTATTCCCGTACACCAGCTTTAGTTTTTATTTGTCTAGAGCATCACAGTGTAGCTCAAACTGACTTGTGACCTTCCTGCCTGGCCACCCTGGGTTGGGATCAGGGACATGTGCCACTGTGGCTGACTAGCATTCTGGCTTAATGGGAGAATCTGCTGAAGTTGAAGCCTGGTTTTCCTCATCAGTGTCAGGAATAACTCTTAATAACACCCAGTCTGCAGAATTGCCAGAGAACTCACAGATAAATGTTTGGTGAGAGGGCTGACTGAGCTTTATGTCTGGCATGTAGTAAAGAGCCATAGGTTTGGGGGTGGGCTTTGTTTTTTATCTTGTTTTGTTCCCTAAAGGACCAGCAAGATGACTCAGCTGGTAAAGGCACTTGCCACCAAAACCTAAATGATGGAAAAAGAGAACCAACTCAGAAGCTGTTTTCTGACCAACACATATGCTCTATGACCTAGGCATGTACAAAATAAATGGATAAAAAGTGTGGGAAAAAAAGCCTAAAGCTCAAGATAGGGATGTTGTTATGATGATAATGGCATTTATTGAGCCTGTTTTAT